GAGACAGACACAGAGACAGGGAGAGACTCAGAGACAGACACAGAGACAGAGAAGCAGAGACAGACACAGAGACAGAGAGAGAAGCAGAGACAGACACAGAGACAGGAAGAGACTCAGAGACAGACAAAGAGACAGAGAGAGAAGCAGAGACAGACACAGAGACAGGAAGAGACTCAGAGACAGACACAGAGACAGAGAGAGAAGAGACAGACACAGACAGGAAGACTCAGAGACAGACACAGAGACAGGGAGAGACTCAGAGACAGACACAGAGACAGAGAAGCAGAGACAGACACAGAGACAGAGAGAGAAACAGAGACAGACACAGAGACAGGGAGAGAAGCAGAGACAGACACAGAGACAGAGAGAGAAGCAGAGACAGACAGAGAGACAGAGAGAGACTCAGAGACAGACACAGAGACAGAGAAACAGAGACAGACACAGAGACAGAGAGAGAAGCAGAGACAGACACAGAGACAGAGAGAGAAACAGAGACAGACACAGAGGCAGAGAGAGAAACAGAGACAGACACAGAGACAGGGAGAGACTCAGAGACAGACACAGAGACAGAGAGAGACTCAGAGACAGACACAGAGACAGAGAAACAGAGACAGACACAGAGACAGAGAGAGAAGCAGAGACAGACACAGAGACAGGGAGAGACTCAGAGACAGACAGAGAGACAGAGAGAGACTCAGAGACAGACACAGAGACAGAAAACAGAGACAGACACAAACAGAGAGAGAAAGAAGACAGACACAGAGACAGGAGAGACTCAGAGACAGACACAGAGACAGGGAAACAGAGACAGACACAGAGACAGAGAAACAGAGACAGACACAGAGACAGAGAGAGAAACAGAGACAGACACAGAGACAGAGAGAGACTCAGAGACAGACACAGAGACAGGGAAACAGAGACAGACACAGAGACAGAGAAACAGAGACAGACACAGAGACAGACACAGAGACAGAGAGAGAAGCAGAGACAGACACAGAGACAGGGAGAGACTCAGAGACAGACACAGAGACAGGGAGAGACTCAGAGACAGACACAGAGACAGAGAGAGAAGCAGAGACAGACACAGAGACAGGGAGAGACTCAGAGACAGACACAGAGACAGAGAGAGACTCAGAGACAGACACAGAGACAGAGAAACAGAGACAGACACAGAGACAGAGAAACAGAGACAGACACAGAGACAGAGAAACAGAGACAGACACAGAGACAGAGAGAGAAACAGAGACAGACACAGAGACAGAGAGAAACAGAGACAGACAGAGAGACAGAGAGAGAAACAGAGACAGACACAGAGACAGAGAAACAGAGACAGACACATAGACAGAGAGACTCAGAGACAGACAGAGAGACAGAGAGAGACTCAGAGACAGACACAGAGACAGAGAGAGACACAGAGACAGACACAGAGACAGAGACAGACACAGAGACAGGGAAATTTTCTAACTTTTGCATCAAAACGTAATGTCACGCAAATACCTGAATAACATTGAGATAAATATTTGTCAGCGAATGAAGCAGACGATTTGGAAATTGAAGCAACAGATTGTATTGCAGCGGCTTTTCTAAAAACTGCGAAGCTTTACATCGCAAAACGAATTTGCTCGGAGTAAGGAGAGAATTTTTTTTTAACCTGGAATAGTTTGTCATGAATCTTGTCACCGCGGAGACGTTGACTCTGTGTTTCAATTGAAACTGTTCCACTGTTGACGTTGACCTGAACGTTAATATGGATTTAAACTTAATCAAAAGGTGTCACCTTGGAGCCAATTCAGCTACGACTTCACAAGACCGCACAACGCTCCGCGTCCCCCCACCCAAGAGGATAGTCCAGCTCTACCCCTACAAACGGTGCCAACGATCAGAAACAGATCGAGACTATTTTTCTCCTTCAAGGCCATCTGTGAAACCCTCGGTCTCGGCGCGAAACCCCATCACACACACTTTCGCCCGACTCCACTGGCTCCCCAATCCCCCAGAGGATCAAGTTGAAGTGCCAGGTCCTCTCCTTTAAGGCCGTCCTTGGTCTTACCACCTATTACCCCCCTCACCTGCTGACTCCCGACCAAGCTGCCCGCTCATCGGGCCCCGTCCTGCTCCATGTCTCCCGCCCGACCCTCGGTGGCCGGGCTTTCAACCTCTTCGCCCCCTCACTCTGGAACTCCATCCCACGGTCCCTTGGCCTCGCTTCCTCCTTCAAGTCCAGCCTCAAGGCCATTCGTCTCGGCTGTGGCTTTGGCCTCGCTCCTACCTCTCTGCCTTCCATTATCCAGTCAACGCCCCTCCACCACACTCGCGCCCCGAGTCCTGATTCTTCAGCGCTTTCGGACGTCCTCCCGACCTGAAAGGCGCTCTGTAAATGTAATTTTGTTGTTTTAATAATAATAATAATAATAATCCTCGCATTTGATATAGCGCTTTTCACGTCGGGAGGACGTCCCAAAGCGCTTCACAGAACACACTGCAAAGTGAATTGACTGTATATTTGTGGGGGGTTTTGTCGCTTTTGTTGCAATCAACTGCACTTTGTACAAAGAGACCTTTGATGAGCAATTGTTTTGATATGAATTGATAGGTATTGAATGGCACATTAGACAAAGCGATCTTAAATGAAGTTTAATTTCATGTCAATGGTATTTAGTGAACGGCACATTAAACAAGGGACCTTCAGTGAGCAGTTTAATTCGATGTAAGTTGTTGGTATTGAAGAGCTCATTGAACAAACCGACCTTTAATGAATAGTTCACTTTATGTAAGTTATATCCAATGAATGGCACATGAAACAAACAGACATTTAATGAAGAGATAAGGGCCTGTGCAGTTTAAATAGGTACACATTGTGTACCACAGATTTGAAGCGGAGATGTATTTCCCGCCAGGAATCGTGTAAGAATTCCCGTGTACCTAACGTCCAACAGGTGAGCCTGAAACCCGCGCTTTTCAGATTCCCAAATGGCCTTCCAGTGTGTATCGCGCTTGAGCTGAGGTCAGAGGGGTGACGTTGGAGATGAATAGGCTCCAAGGTGATGCGTTTGGCAAAGAAATGTCCATAAAGCGCCAGTCCTTTGTGGCCATCTCCAGTCGGCTCCTGAGCCAACACTGCATATCAGTTCCAGTGAAGCTCTTGAAGATCCCCTCCGATGTGATCCCTTTTTACTATGATTACTAAACTGCACTGTTGCCTCATCTTTCGCTAAAAAGGCTTATTTTTTTCAGGAAAACCATTTGTGATATAAATAATAATCCTTGCATTTGATATAGCCCATTTTCTCTTTGACCGTGCCTTCAGCTCCCCTCTGGACTCTCTTCCCCCTCCTCGCTCCCTCCCTTCCCTCCCCTCACCCTGACCATTTCCCCCCTCCTCGCTCCCTCCCTTCCCTCCCCTCACCCTGACCATTTCCCCCCTCCTCGCTCCCTCCTTCCCTCCCCTCACCCTGACCATTTCCCCCCTCCTCGCTCCCTCCCTTCCCTCCCCTCACCCTGACCATTTCCCCCCTCCTCTCTCCCTCCCTTCCCTCCCCTCACCCTGACCATTTCCCCCCTCCTCGCTCCCTCCCTTCCCTCCCCTCACCCTGACCATTTCCCCCTCCTCGCTCCCTCCCCTCCCTCACCTCACCCTGACCATTTCCCCCCTCCTCGCTCCCTCCCTCCCTCCCTCACCCTGACCATTTCCCCCCTCCTCGCTCCCTCCCTTCCCTCCCCTCACCCTGACCATTTCCCCCCTCCTCGCTCCGTCCCTCCCCTCCTCTCACCCTGACCATTTCCCCCCTCCTCGCTCCCTCCCTTCCCTCCCCTCACCATCTCCCCCCTCCTCGCTCCCTCCCTCCCCTCCCCTCACCCTGACCATTTCCCCCCTCCTCGCTCCCTCCCTCCCTTCCCTCCCCTCACCCTGACCATTTCCCCCCTCCTCGCTCCCTCCCTCCCTCCCCTCACCCTGACCATTTCCTCCCCAATGCTCGGCTCATGACCCAACTGTGCAGCGCCTCGGGACGTCCTCCCGACGTGAAAGGCGCTTTATAAATGGAATCTTGTTGTTGTTGTTGCTATCACGTCTTCCAGATACCTCCAAGCGCTTCACAGAAAAAAAAAAAACTCTCAAGTGAATTGACTCTGTATTTGTGGGCGAAACGCGGCTGCCAACTGCTCCCGGCGGTATCACCCAAATAACCGTGGGTCGAAGTGAACAACTCGTGATTTATTTCCTTCACCGGTTATTGTCGGGCGTGTTTGTGGGGTAAGGAAACGTGCCCAAGGTTTCGCCACGCCGTGACTCGAACACGGGTTTCTCTTTTGTGAGGTGAGTGGTCTCACCACTGAGCAGACGGGTACCACAGGACTCCTGGAGCTCAGTGGTCAGAGCGCTCGCCTTGCGAGCCACACACCCGGGTTCAATTCCAGGCAGGTTTAAACACGCTTCCTTACTCCACGAGCCTGACAGCCATTCTTCCACAAGAAAACAATGATAAATTGGTCATTTTCAATGGGACACTGTTGTGCGCAATTGCCTGTCTTGTTTCGCCCTGAAGCGGACAACTTACGTTACAGCATGTTTGGTGAAGAGCGGTATCAAATGCAAGGATTATTGTCATAGTTTTCTATTACTATTGGTCAACTTAGTGTCTGCGAAATAACTAAAGAATATGGCAGCGACATACTAAAAAATTAAACCGGCAAGGGAGCTATTGAGAACTCTGTCTGGCGAGATGTCCCGGTGCTTTTCGGGGACTGCCGCCGTGGATTTGGGGATTGGGATTGCAGGGTTAATAGCAATGGTTTCAGATACTGTTCTGCCACTACAGTTTCTACCGATGTGCCAACCTTTCTGACCAGTCACCGGAGAAGCCGTAGAGCAACCCGTCTACGGTGTTTGTTTGAGAGAATTTCCGGATCCTTTAACATTTAATAAAATTAAAAGCTGAAGGGGGCGATTTCCGAACAATTGTGCGGAGAAGGCGAACTAAATGGATCGTGGACCTCTCTCGTCAGCAAATTCTTATGATCTGATCAGAATCAATATTTGATACAATGGGTAATTCATCATATTCTTCAGCTGCTTTCTGAATTTGGATTGTGTCAAAGCATAAATACATGTGTTTGTGGAGCAGCTGAAAAGTCGAAGCATATTGCCGACTCGTAGCACAATACCTGCATCACTCGTTAAATTTAGAGCCATAAATTCAACTTGGTATTGAATATAAGTTATCACATACGTCACCCATAAGCAAATGAAACTCCCCGTTACTGTAAACAGCAAAATGATGGATCTTCTCCGATTCTGCATCTCTGCGTCGTTCTGATGTTCCCCATTGCTGTGGCCTCGGAGCCTTCTCCGTGCAGCATTGGTCACTAAGATATATCTTATGGTCAGAACATTGAGCAGCAAAATGAGAACAAATGGGATAAACGGCGTTAAAATGCATTGAAGCAACTGAAAAGCGGTCCATATCCATGAATAATAAAAACTTGGTTTAACGACACAAAACCAGGGCTTGTTGTTAATTATAAAGAGCGGTTCAATCTCGAGGTACCGGGGGATGTTGATCACACAGCTGAACGCACAGACCGACACAATGACCACCGTCGCTGTTTTCTCGGTGCAGTATTTGGTTTTCAGTTTCTGACGACAAATTGCTGCAAAGCGATCAAAGGTGAAAGCGATTGTGAGCCAAACAGAACAGGTGGTGGTGGCGTGAAACAGCACCTCACGGATGCAACAGATAGGAGTCAGGTTCAGGAAAATAAAATGCCACGTAAAGGTGACTGAAATGCGCTTCCACATCACATCAGTGATCACCACCAGCAGGTCTGCCACTGCCATGGCCACCAGGTAGCGAGTGATACATGTGGAGAGACCGCACTTTCCTCGGGACAGGATCACAATCGTCACCAAGTTAACTGCAAGAAATAAATCATAAACAACCGCAGTTTCGGGTTACGAAATTAATGCCACAGTTCCCATAATCAATGCCTCGAATGGAGTTCAATAATAATACTTATAATAATAATAATACTCCTGGCATTTGATATAGCGCTTTTCACGTCGGGAGGACGTCCCAAAGCGCTTCACAGAACACACTGTAAAGTGAGTTGACTGTATATTTGTGGGCGAACGCGGCAGCCAATTGCGCACAGCAATGTCCCACAAACAGTCGTAGATTGAAAATGACCAATTTATTATTGTTTTTGGAGGGATTATTATTAGGCGTTATAATTATTATTATAACAATCTTTCCAAATCATGCAGTACCGTATTGCTTTGAGCGACGTCTTAAAATGCTTCGCAGAATATACTGTATGTTTAATTGACTTCTGTGGACTGTGGGTAAATGCGTCACAGAAGTGACCGAAATACAGTCGTGGGTTGAATGAAACTTTTTTAAAGGGATTATTCCCCTCGGAAATTCAATCCGCCAATCAAACAACTGATGGGGAAACCTAGTTGGCATGTCATTTAAAATGTAAAATGTAAAATGTCACGTAAAATGTTTGTTTAGTTTGCTAAATATCCAAGATTGTTTCAAAAGCTTTTGGATTGCCAAATAAAAATAATTGATCGATTCAATAATTCGTTGAAGTACTTTAATAAATCAATGCCATACTCCCATTCCACCTGTCCTTGATAGGCTACGCTGGTTGTCTATCAAAAAAAAGGATCGGTTTCAAGATCCTCTCACTTGTCTTACAAGGACGTTCAGCAATGGCGCCTCCGTACCTGAGGTGACCAGAGAGGGAATGCAATCGATTGGGCTGGTGAATTAAATCGAAGGACAGAGGTGGAATCAAGGAATTAAAAAAAAAAGGCAGGGAAAGGAAATAATGTCATTAATGACGTTGACTATGTCAGTGATTTGTGCTGTGAAAGGGCAAACAGACAGATTGACCGGAGATAAATGTTTACGACGAGTTTTTAGAGAGGAAAGACCGCAGGTGGGGAGGCCAATTGATTCAGCATCTCAGAGAGGAAGGCAGCTTGGAAGTTAAAGAGATGGAAAGGGGCGAGGAAGGCTGCCAAGGCACTCCATGTTTCATCACATCAAGGCCTGATTTCACAGTTTGATGGACTGCCCGACTCTTCCCTTCACTGCAGAATACCTGGACCTCTTCGGCATGCTCCCAGGATAACCGGGCTCGTCTGGCTCCCCGTTCCCCGGCGGGTCCAGTTTACCATCCCTGGCCTACACTTCCAATCCTACCATGGGCAAGCTTTCCAAACCCTTACTATACCAACCGCACCGGGCTCACACTGGGCTCCAATCTGCAGCATCTCCTACACTCCTCACTGCCTAACAATTGATAATAATAATAATAATAATAATAATAATAATCCTTGCATTTGATATAGCGCTTTTCACGTCGGGAGAGGACGTCCCAAAGCGCTTCACAGAATACACTGTAAAGTGAATTGACTGTATATTTGTGGGCGAACGCGGCAGCCAATTGCGCACAGCAATGTCCCACAAACAGTCGTGGATTGAAAATGACCAATTTATTATTGTTTTTGGTTTTGGAGGATTATTATTAGGCTCTGTGTGGAGTAAGGAAACTCGCCCGAGGTTTCGCCCTCTGCCTGGAATTGAACTCAGGTCTCTCACTTGCAAAGCGAGTGCTCTAACCACTGAGCTACAGGACTCCACGTGATGATCACGTGATGATCGTGATTTAAGCCTCTTTCCTTACTCTCTGGAACTTAGTCCCAGAGTCTCCAAGATTGACCAGTCCCGGATGTTTTCTTTCGACTCAGAGCTGTAGGGACCTGAATACACTCTCCTCCATTGTTGTATTTATGAGCAATGTTGATGGTTTCTCACTATCCTCCTCTTGATTTCAAGATCCTCATCCTCACCTACAAGGCCATTCACGGCCTCGCTCCCTCCTACCTCTCCAACCTACTATCCCCCTACCTACCTGCCCGTACCCTCCGTTCCTCCGGCTCCGGTCTGCTCCACGTCCCCCGCCCCAACCGCCCGACCATCGGTGGTCGGGCCTTCAGCCTCTCAGCCCCGAGGCTCTGGAACTCCATCCCCAGTGCCTTCGCCGCTTCCTCCCTTTCCTCCTTCAAGGCCGGTCTCAAGACCTTTCTCTTTGACCTTCAGCCTTCAGCTCCACTCTCGACTCTCTTCCCCCTCCTCGCTCCCTCCCTTCCCTCCCCTCACCCTGACCATTTCCCCCCTCCTCACTCCCTCCCTTCCCTCCCCTCACCCTGACCATTTCCCCCTCCTCTCTCCCTCCCTCCCTTCCCTCCCCTCACCCTGACCATTTCCCCCCTCCTCTCTCCCTCCCTTCCCTCCCCTCACCCTGACCATTTCCCCCCTCCTCTCTCCCTCCCTCCCTTCCCTCCCCTCACCCTGACCATTTCCCCCTCCTCTCTCCTCCCTTCCCTCCCCTCACCCTGACCATTTCCCCCCCAATGCTCGGGTCATGACCCAACTGTGCAGCGCCTTGGGACGTCCTCCTGACGTGAAAGGCGCTCTATAAATGGAATCTTGTTGTTGTTGTTGTTGTTTAAATGGCATTGAACTGTACAAGAGGCAGCGGTTGACAAACCAGGTATACATTTGCGCTGAAGAGAGAGGTGTAGATGGGACTAAGGGATGTTTCTGTGCTCTCAATCTCACATAGTTGAGGCTGAGCAGATTCGAGTCCCAGGTGGGGTGATACACGAAGCAAGTTTTCTAACTCCACGTGGCTGTTTGCCGAGCAGTAAGTAGAAACTGCTGTTAGTGGACCGGTGATAGGTTTTTCTGGTACTAATAATCGATTCGAAACCAAAAAAATACTACGTGGACCAAGTCTGTTTGTGGGGCATTGCTGAGAGCAATTAGCTGCTGTATTTCGCCCAAAAATAAGCAGTCAATTCAAATTAAATGATGTTTTGTGAAGCGATGTGATCAATTGCCAATTGAAATGCGAGGATTATTTCTGCCTGCCGTCTGTATCTTTCTGGAGTCTGTTGCCGTCCTCCTCACTGTTCACCGCCATGAATTCATTCAGTTTATGATGTATTGATCAGATTCGGGATCATATTAATTATCCACACATAATGGATACCGCTCGTGTATGGGATCATCTCGTTCAAACTGGGGTCAGAAATTTACTGACGAGTTAATCACATAAAATGAATGACTAAAAGTTGTGATGTTACCCGTTGAATCGTATTACACTGAAGAGAAGACATTGTGGGAACATTTGTGCATGCATCGAGAAATAGGGATGAATGAGCAAAGCTCAGAAAATCATAGATTAAACAGAAATAAGACGTTATCATGACTTACCTGGAACGCCAATAGCTGCAACGATTGGGTAGTATATCAGTTCTATCTGAATAATTATTTTACTCAATTGAGTTCCTTTCATTTTTGTTGAGTACGATACTGAGTCGTCGTCGTGTTGATCACAAACGCTTTGTCTTCAATTGTTGGATGACACTATCAAAGAAGGATTAATATAGCAGAGGAATTTCCCCAGTTGATTAATTTGGTGGTGTGATCGCTGATAATGATGATAGTCCAATTAAAAAGTAATCGAAAGCAGCTGCTAAAGAATATCATGAGGGAATTGTACATGTTTTTACAAGTTTTAACAGAGGCGACATGAGAAATAAGATGTCGGCAATGATCCGATGCACTTTACCATCTTTATCTCGACACTTTGGTCCAGTGGAGTCCTGTAGCTCAGTGGTTAGAGCACTCGCTTTGCGAGCGAGAGACCTGAGTTCAATTCCAGGCAGAGGGCGAAACCTCGGGCAAGTTTCCTTACTCCACACAGAGCCTAATAATAATCCCTTCAAAACAAAACAATAATAAATTGGTCGTTTTCAATCTACGACTGTTTGTGGGACATTGCTGTGCGCCATTGGCTGCCGCGTTCGCCCACAAATATACAGTCAATTCACTTTACAGTGTGTTCTGTGAAGCGCTTTGGGACGTCCACCCGACGTGAACAGCGCTGTATCAAATGCAAGGATTATTATTATATTATTATTCCTGATGTAATACACTCGCCATGCTAAAATCATATTGATATCGTCTAAATTTCTCCACAGATGTAATTTTTTATGAGGTTTCATTTATGAATCGGCCACAGACAAATAACACGGCGACGTTTTATATGACGGACTTCTACTTTCCTTAGTATGTTAGGACTTCTTCAAATGGCTACTCTTTACAGGAGGTTGATGTTTTCAGGAGTCTTGTAGACGAGTGGTTAGAGCAGCAGACGCACAAACGAAACGACTTGGGTTTGCCTCCTGGGGGGGGGCAAAACATTGTAAGTTTCTTACCGCCTCTGTTTAGCAAGCATTAAGTGGGAACCTACATCTTCGCTTGGCGTATTGGTTTTCTGGGAGAAAATAATCACTTCAAAATCAGTAAATAAAATAATAATGATTTTGACCGTCAACCCAGGACAGCTGGTGGGACACTGATGCGCTCAAATGGCGGCCCGTTTCGGTGAGACTGTGTACAGTCGGTTCACTTTGCTGCATGTTCTGTAAAGCACTTTGAGATGTCCTTCTGATCAGAACAATCAGAACTTATTGTTGTCTGTTTTTGTCTGGAAGACGTGATGAGGTGCTGTAACACATGGAAGGATTTTTATCACCGTCTATCGATTTCTGAATCATCTTTCAACAGATCCAGTTTGCAGTGTGAAGAAGCCCCCAATGACTTCACGGTGACACAAGCCCAGTTTCACAGTATTTTGGTTCGGATCCTTTGTTCGGGGATCTCACAGTCTAAACACTCCTGTCAAGCAATTGCCACATATCTGGTCTCTGATATTCAACCTTACAGTAAATGTATTACTTTTATATAATAATGTAATAATAAACATTGATGTATAAGTCTGCAGTTAATTTATATATATATTTTTATATTTATATATCCGTATTTTTCCTGAACTCGTCTAGTTGCTGATCATATAAATAATGCTACATGTACAATGTATTTTTCGTTACCATAATGCCTGGTTTCTTGCAGATAACTGTTCTATCTGTTTGCATCTGTGAGTCCCACGTAATTGGGATTGTTCACGCTGGAAAAGAAAACATTGAGAAGCGATATGATTGAATGTACGATTCAAAAGTAGCTAAACATTGTAAATGTTTACAATGACACCCTATGTCAAAGAGTCCAGAAGGATAAAATCAGCGGACAAGTCCGGCGAATGAAGTAAATTAAACCCAGAATGACGCCACTGGAACAATATTTCAGTGATCGAATAGTAAACCTGTGGAACAGGCTCCGTAGGGAGACCGTTGAAGCAGAAAATTTTGATCCCTTCCGACACAGATGAGACAGTTTTCTTTGACGAAATAGCATTACGGGAAACAGTACATAGGGAGTTCTTGATATATGTGAATGCGGCCGCCAGGAAACTGGAAGATGAACTTGGCGGCCTATTGATTCTCTTCTGGCATTTCTTAGCTTCTTATGTTACTACAATATGTTTAGTTGTCACTTTTGCTGGTTTATTTGATACCAGTTTTTCTTGCTCTCAATATCAACGTGTATCCAACCTTTTGAGGGAATATTAGATTTTTGACCAGAAATGGCCTTGTGATAAGCAAAAGTAGATAACAGTGTTTTGCTTTGGTTCCTGCCAGTCGACACACATCTGTAAATGATTCTCAACCATGAGTTCTACGATCTTGAACCGAATAGGTCAAGTCACGATAATAGGAGCTATCGGATTCTCAACGCGGTTAAATGAAAACTTTACATGCGATACTGGACTGGTCTGTACTCCAGAATAACCAAGAATCCGGTATAGAAATATAGAGTTCAATCAAGACCAAAGAGTTTCCGATGGGATAACACCAACCACTTCCTGATGCACTCCCGAGGATAGATAACTGATCAAAACCTCACTTACCTGATACCCTGTTTCCCCCCATTAGCGAGTCTTAATGTAAAGGGATATTGCCCTTTGCAAGATCACCGACCGTGGAACAATAACGAAGGATCAATGTGTTTCACATCCAAACTATGGGCAATATTTCCCCAATGATCAAAATAAAGTTCACCTGCAGATGGTAACGGAACAAAACCAAACTGGTGCTTGAGAAATCGACCCCTCTTCTGAATGGAGAATAAAAAAACGAAACGAAACAACAGCTTCATGGATTAAGTGGCAAAGTGCCTCACTCGTAAACAGGAGAACTTGGGTTTGAGTCCCAGGCGAACCTTCTGAATACCCCAACATCAATACTGTTGGTTTTTGCTGCTGTGTTTGTCACATTATGATGCAACACTTTGGTTGATACAAATAACACTGAAGATGTAATGTGTCTAAGAATTTAACCACGGCGTTGCGGCGGTGATCTTTTTTTTAAAAAAAACGGACATCCCCATTGCATTCAGCACAAGTGGCATTGGATAGTGGGGGATTTGTCTATTATTATATCTGAAAACCAACTGACCAACTGTGAGCTTCTGGTGAGCAAAGATGAAGAACAATCTTTGAGAAACGTATCATCAGGTGAAGGATGAAACTGGGAAAGTATCTGAGTTGGACTCTTCCACCATTGACGGAAAAAATCTGCGGACGCATTCGTATTATTTAGCAGCATTCAGGTGGGGAAGAAGAATTGGCTCAATAGCAGCTCATTGAATGCAGAACTCCTGTGCTCATGACACTCCTCGCTGGCGCTTTAATATCCATCCCCATTGGCTGCACTTTCAGCCGCTCGGTACCGAAATTCCAGAGCATTCCCTCTATCCCTCCGCCATATCCCTTTCTTCCCTATTTTCAGGTCGCGCCTCAAGAGCTTCCTCTTCGGCCACGCCTGGAGCCATCTTTCCTCTCCCACAGCCTGGGCATCATCAAGCACTCTGGGGTACTTCCGTGCATGAGGAGTGGTATATAAATGCAAGTTGTTGTTGTTATTGTTACTAACCTCACTGTGAGGATGGTCAGCATTGCCTTCACCACTGGCCCTGAACTCTAATCCGCTGCACGAGTGTAATGCCAATCTTGCATAACCTGTTCAAACATAAGTAATATACTCATGAACTGAAAAGCTACGGAGCTCGTTTCTTCAGCTCTCGTTGACTGACGCTGACGGTTCCATCTCTTTTTCTTCAGAGCCAATTCTGAATGTAGGATTGTTAGAATGATGCGCAGGAAGAAATAAGATGTGTTACGTGTTAGAGCGGTGTCCACGGTTCATCGACCAACCCACCAGGGGAAATATTCTCTCTTTGTTCACCCTGTCCAATTCCTTCATAGCGTTGAAAAATTCCACTCAGTCCCGTCTTAACCATCTCGAGGAGAATAATCCTCGCTTCTCAAACCTCTCCTGCTACCCAACTCCCTCATTCCTGGAATCTTCCTGATCAACCTCCTTTGCTCCATCACCAATGCCTTGACATCCTTCCTGAATTGTGGTGCCCAGAACTGATCTAACTGAGTCCTCACGAGTGTTTTATAAAGATTCATCTTAACTTCCTGAATTTGGTAGTCTATGTCCCGATTTATAGAGTCTCGTATGCCATATCCTTTTTACCAGCTTTATCTGCCTGTCCTGCTACCTTAAAGATTTACTTACACCGAACCCCAGTATCTCTGTTCATTCACCCTCTTTAATAATAATAATAATAATAATAATCCTTGCATTTGATATAGCGCTTTTCACGTCGAGAGGACATCCCAAAGCGCTTCACAGAACAACTGTAAAGTGAATTGACTGTATATTTGTGGGCGAACGCGGCGGCCAATTGCGCACAGCAGTGTCCCACAAACAGTCGTAGATTGAAAATGACCAATTTATTATTGNTTTTGGTTTTTTTTTTGGAGGGATTATTATTAGGCTCTGTGTGGAGTAAGGAAACTTGCCCAAGGTTTCGCCCTCTGCCTGGAAGTGAACCCAGGTCTCTCGCTCGCAAAGCGAGTGCTCTAACCACTGAGCTACAGGACTCCGATTAGGATTAGGATTAGGATCCGACTTTAGGATGATACGATCTCGCTGATATTGCCTCTTTTCAATCTCGCTCCCCAAATGCATCATTTCGCATTTCGCCGCACGAAATTTCACCTGCCATGTGTCTTCCCATTTTGCAATTCTGTCCGGGGGTCGTCTTGTATTCTACTCCTACACTCCTCACTCTCTACTACTTTTCCTCGCTAAATGTCATGGTTGAGTTTGGAAATCCTACTCCCTTTGCCCAAGTCCAAGTCATGTATAGAGATCAAAAGCAGAAGCGGTCCCAATGCGGACCTCTGGGGGACACAGCTGCACACTTCCCTCGAGTCAGAAAAACAAGTATCACAACTGTATTCTCTTTGTTTCCCAAGAAGATCCGTATCCATACTGTCGCTGTCCCTTTAACAACGTGGACCTCTATTTTGCCCACAAGTCTGCTCTGTGGCAAGTTGTGAAGCGCCTTTTGAGAATCCATCTAAACTTGGTCAACTGCCTAACCTCCATCCACAATCTCGGTTACTTCGTCAAAAATGTTCGATCAAGTTTGTTAGATATGATTTACAGTCAACAAATCCGTGTTGGCTGCCCTCTCCAACCTACTGTCCCCCTCCCTACCTGCCCGTACCCTCCGTTCCTCTGGCTCCGGTCTGCTCCACGTCCCCCGCCCCAAACGCCCTACCATCGGTGGTCGGGCCTTCAGCCTCTCAGCCCCGAGGCTCTGGAACTCCATCCCCAGTGCCTTCGCCGCTTCCTCCCTCTCCTCCTTCAAGGCCGGTCTCAAAACCTTTCTCTTTGACCTTCAGCCTTCAGCTCCACTCTCGACTCTCTTCCTCCTCCTCGCTCCCTCCCTTCCCTCCCCTCACCCTGACCATCTCCCCTTCCTCGCTCCCTCCCTTCCTTCCCCTCACCCTGACCATTTCCCCCCTCCTCGCTCCCTCCCTTCCCTCCCCTCACCCTGACCATCCCCCCCTCCTCGCTCCCTCCCTTCCCTCCCCTCACCCTGACCATTTCCCCCCTCCTCGCTCCCTCCCTCCCCTCCCCTCACCCTGACCATCTCCCCTTCCTCGCTCCCTCCCTTCCTTCCCCTCACCCTGACCATTTCCCCCCTCCTCGCTCCCTCCCTTCCCTCACCCTGACCATTTCCCCCCTCCTCGCTCCCTCCCTCCCTCCCCTCACCCTGACCATTTCCCCCCTCCTCTCTCCCTCCCTTCCTTCCCCTCACCCTGACCATTTCCCCCCTGCTCGGGTCATGACCCAACTGTGCAGCGCCTCGGGACGTCCTCCTGACGTGAAAGGCGCTCTATAAATGGAATCTTGTTGTTGTTGTTGTTGTTGTTGTTGTTTATTAACCCATATTTTTCGGAATAAAATTGTATTTTATCCCGGAGTCCATTGTGTAGAAATTTCACACGACTGACGTTATGCCGATAGTCTCCAGGTTTATGCTTTTGCCCCTTTTTCTACAGGGGAGTAAACTTCCAACACGCCAGTCCTCTGGCATAAACTCAGTGTCCAAGTGGAATTGAAAAATTGTTCGCGGAGCCTCCATTATTTGCACCATTCCTTCCCTAAATAACCAAATACTCACCTGGTTGGACAAGACGACTTGTCTACCTTCAGCGCAATAAAAGTTTTGAGTGCCTCCTCTCGGTTTATTCTGATCGAATCCAATTTCTCTGCCTTCTCCGCCGACATTCTGGCTTTGGCTGCGTCTGGATCGTGTTTGAAGACAACATAAACGTCTGTCTCGTCCTTTGAACGTTGTGTACCCAACGAAAATGTTATTGACAACTTCTCCCTGTCTTGAGTCATCCATTTGCTCTTGGCTCAGTTCTGACGAAGGTTCGCGGACACGAAACGTGGACTCACTTTCCTTTCTCAATAGATGCTGACTGGCCGATAGTCTCCAGGTTTATGCTTTTGCCCCTTTTTCTACAGGGGAGTAAATTACAGGGAGGAAACCTGCTGAGTTTCCCAGCTCTCTCTGCTTTTGTTTTTAGTTCTTGAGAGAATTGGGTTCAGGACGCTACGGATCAATGTTTTTGGACCCCAGTGTGCGTGCTGAGGTACTGTTGGATATCAACCAACTGATCAGAAAATGATTGCAAGAGAGAGTAAAACCCCATATTAGTAATATTTGCAGCTTTCGGACGTCTTAAACCCCTTCACGTAATACACTGTACACAATTGACTCTACATTTTGTGCGCAAAACACCCAATTCCAATACGAATGCCCCTTCAGTCCATACATTGTGATGTAAATTGCGGTTTCAAACACAATGCATAAGTATGTCAGTCTGGTTCAGTGGCAACACTCTCGCCTCCGAGTCAGAAGTCTCTGGGTTGACGCTCCAATCTGGAAAGCACCAGTGAGATGCTGGAATCCTCTCTCTCCCTCTTGGTGTCGTCATTCGCTTTCTCCGTCGGTCTGTCCCTGGATTTGTCTCCCTTTGCTTGACCATTACGCGAGACGCATATTTCCTGATTGCTTCCCAAATTAATTCCGGGAGTCCACCCCGAACGTTGCTTGTTTATCCCGCATCCACAATTTATTTCTTGTTAACGGTGACTCTCATCTCTTTGCAACTCTTTCTCTGAGTCTCCCTTTGTAGCTCCCACTGTACCTGTGCCCTGTATATGTCTCACTTTCTCACTGTCTGTATCTCCGTGTCTGCATCTGCCGCTCGGTGATGATATCAGGAAGTATGGAGTCAAGTTCAACCGAAGCACGTTGGGCCACAATAGCGTTCTCCACGCAGGATGGCGCCTCAGAGCGCTTGGAATTGCCACTGTCGTTCTCGGTTCTCATTTGCACACCTCTGTGAATGACACAAAATGGACACGGCCTCCTCCATCCTCGACTCCAGGATCATTAATCATCTGGCAATCCCTGCCATCCCCTCCCCCTGACCACCTCCCCCCTCCTCGCTCCCTCCCTTCCCTCCCCTCACCCTGACCATTACCCCCTCCTCGCTCCCTCCCTCCCCTCCCTCACCCTGACCATTTCCCCCCTCCTCGCTCCTCCCTCCCTCTCCCTCACCCTGATCATTTACCCCCTCTCGCCCCCTCCTTCCATCCCTCACCCTGACAATTCCCCCCTCCTCGCTCCTCCCTTCCCTCCCTCACCCTGACCATCTCCCCCCTCCTCGCTCCCCCTCCTTCCTCCCCTCACCCTGACCATTTCGCCCTCCTCGCTCACCTCCCTCCCCTCACCCTGACCATTTCCCCCCTCCTCGCTCCCTCCCTCCCTCCCCTCACCATGACCATCTTCGCCCTCCTCACTCCCTCCCTCCCCTCACCCTCACCATTTCCCCCCTCCTCACTCCCTCCCTCCCCTCCACTCACCCTGAACATTCCCCCTTCCTCGCTCCCTCCCTCCCCTCACCCTCACCATCTTCCTCCTCCTCACTCCCTCCCTCCCCTCCACTCACCCTGAACATTTCCCCCTTCCTCGCTCCCTCCCTCTCCCCTCCCCTCACCCTGACCATCTTCCTCCTCCTCGCTCCCTCCCTCACCTCACCATTCACCCCCCTCCTCGCTCCCTCCCTCCCCTAACCCTCGCTCCTCCCTTCCCTCCCCTAACCCTCACCATTCCCCCCACTCCTCGCTCCTCCCTTCCCTCCCTTCACGCTGACCATTAATACCTACTCACTCCCTCCCTTCCTTCCACTCACTCTGACCATCTGCCCCCTCCTCGCTCCCTCCCTCCCCTCACCCTGACAATCTCCACCCTCCTCTCTCCCTCTCTTCCCTCCCCTCACACTGACCATTTCCCAGTGGAGTCCTGTAGCTCAGTGGTTAGAGCACTCGCTTTGCAAGTGAGAGACCTGAGTTCAATTCCAGGCAGAGGGCCAAACCTCGGGCAAGTTTCCTTACTCCACACAGAGCCTAATAATAATCCCTCCAAAGCCAAAAACAATAATAAATTGGTCATTTTCAATCTACGACTGTTTGTGGGACATTGCTGTGCGCAATTGGCTGCCGCGTTCGCCCACAAATATACAGTCAATTCACTTTACAGTGTGTTCTGTGAAGCGCTTTGGGACGTCCGCCCGACGTGAGAAGCGCTATATCAAATGCGAGGATTATTATTATTATTATTATTATCCCCCCATCCTCGCTCCCTCATTCCCCTCCCCTCACCCTGACCATTCCCCCCCTTCTCGCTCCCTCCCTCCCCCTGACCATTGCCCTCCTCCTCGCTCCCTCCCCCCCTGACCATTCCCCTCCTTCTCGCTCCCTCCCTCCCCCTGACCATTTCCCTATAAATGCGATTTTGTTGTTGTTGTTGTTGTTGTGAGCAGAAACTGAAGACAAAGAGAGAGAGGGAAGGAGAAAGTTGAAGAGAGAGCGAGGAAAGGAGAAAGGGAAGAGAGAGCGAGGAAAGGAGAAATGGAAGAGAGAGTGAGTGAAGGAGAAAGGGAAGAGAGAGTGAGGGAAGGAGAAAGCGAAGAGAGAGTGAGGGAAGGAGAAAGCGAAGAGAGAGTGAGGGAAGGAGAAAGGGAAGAGACGGAGAGGGTAGGAGAAACGGAAGAGCGAGTGAGGGAAGGAGAAAGGGAAGAGAGAGTGAGGGAAGGAGAAGGGGAAGAGAGAGTGATGGAAGGAGAAAGGGAAGAGAGTGTGAGGGAAGGAGAAAGTGAAGAGAGAGTGAGGGAAGGAGAAAGGAAAGAGAGAGTGAGGGAAGGAGAAAGTGAAGAGAGAGTGAGGGAAGGAGAAAGGAAAGAGAGAGTGAGGGAAGGAGAAAGCGAAGAGAGAGTGAGGGAAGGAGAAAGGGAAGAGAGAGTGAGGGAAGGAGAAAGGGAAGAGAGAGTGAGGGAAGGAGAAACGGAAGAGCGAGTGAGGGAAGGAGAAAGGGAAGAGAGAGTGAGGGAAGGAGAAAGGGAAGAGAGAGCGGGAAGAAAAAGTGAAGAAAAAGAAAGGGAAGAACATGTGAACATAGATAGCGAGAGAAGAGAGAGAGGGAGAGGAGAGGGAGTAATAGAAATTCAAGCGAAACAGAGAGAGGGAAGAAGGAAGTGAGGAGTGAGAGAGGAAAGGCGAAAGGGAAGAGAGAGTGAGGGAAGGAGAAAGTGAAGAGAGAGTGAGGGTAGGAGAAAGGGAAGAGAGAGTGAGGGAAGGAGAAAGGGAAGAGAGAGTGAGGGAAGGAGAAAGGGAAGAGAGAGTGAGGGAAGGAGAAAGGGAAGAAAGAGTGAGGGAAGGAGAAAGCGAAGAGAGAGTGAGGGAAGGAGAAAGGGAAGAGACAGAGAGGGAAGGAGAAGGGGAAGAGAGAGTGAGGGAAGGAGAAAGGGAAGAGAGAGTGAGGGAAGGAGAAATGGAAGAGAGAGTGAGGGAAGGAGAAAGGGAAGAGAGAGTGAGGGAAGGAGAAAGGGAAGAGAGAGTGAGGGAAGGAGAAAGGGAAGAGAGAGTGAGAGAAGGAGTAAGGGAAGAGAGAGTGAGAGAAGGAGAAACGGAAGAGCGAGTGAGGGAAGGAGAAAGGGAAGAGAAAGTGAGGGAAGGAGAAATGGAAGAGAGAGTGCGGGAAGGAGTAAGGGAAGAGCGAGTGATGGAAGGAGAAAGGGAAGAGAGAGAGTGAGGGAAGGAGTAAGGGAAGAGAGAGTGAGAGAAGGAGAAATGGAAGAGCGAGTGAGGGAAGGAGAAAGGGAAGAGAGAGTGAGGGAAGGAGAAAGGGAAGAGAGAGTGAGGGAAGGAGAAATGGAAGAGAGAGTGAGTGAAGGAGAAATGGAAGAGAGAGTGAGGGAAGGAGAAAGGGAAGAAAGAGTGAGGGAAGGAGAAAGGGAAGAGACAGAGAGGGAAGGAGAAGGGGAAGAGAGAGTGATGGAAGGAGAAAGGGAAGAGAGAGTGAGGGAAGGAGAAATGGAAGAGAGAGTGAGGGAAGATCAAGTGAACATAGATAGCGAGAGAGAAAGTGAAGAGAGAGAGAGAGAGAGAGAGAGAGAGAGAGAGAGAGAGAGAGAGAGAGAGAGAGTGGAGAGGGAGGAATAGAAAGTCAAGCGAAACAGAGAGAGGGAAGAAGAAAGTGAGAAGTGAGAGAGGAAAGGCGAAAGGGAAGAGTGAGTGAGGGAAGGAGAAAGTGAAGAGAGAGTGAGGGAAGGAGAAAGGAAAGAGAGAGTGAGGGAAGGAGAAAGGGAAGAGAGAGTGAGGGAAGGAGAAAGGGAAGAGAGAGTGAGGGAAGGAGAAAGTGAAGAGAGAGTGAGGGAAGGAGAAAGCGAAGAGAGAGCGAGGGAAGGAGAAAGGGAAGAGAGAGTGAGGGAAGGAGAAAGTGAAGAGAGAGTGAGGGAAGGAGAAAGGGAAGAGAGAGTGAGGGAAGGAGAAAGCGAAGAGAGAGTGAGGGAAGGAGAAAGGGAAGAGTGAGTGAGGGAAGGAGAAAGTGAAGAGAGAGTGAGGGTAGGAGAAAGGGAAGAGAGAGTGAGGGAAGGAGAAAGGGAAGAGAGAGTGAGGGAAGGAGAAAGGGAAGAGAGAGTGAGAGAAGGAGAAAGGAAAGAGAGAGTGAGGGAAGGCGAAAGGGAAGAGAGAGTGAGGGAAGGAGAAAGGGAAGAGAGAGTGAGGGAAGGAGAAAGGAAAGAGAGAGTGAGGGAAGGAGAAAGGGAAGAGAGAGTGAGGGAAGGAGAAAGCGAAGAGAGAGTGAGGGAAGGAGAAATGGAAGAGAGAGAGAGAGGGATGGAGAAAGGGAAGAGAGAGTGAGGGAAGGAGAAAGGGAAGAGAGAGCGGGAAGAAAAAGTGAAGAAAAAGAAAGGGAAGAACATGTGAACATAGATAGCGAGAGAAGAGAGAGAGGGAGAGGAGAGGGAGTAAAGAAATTCAACGAAAACAGAGAGAGGGAAAAGGAAGTGAGGAGTGAGAGAGGAAAGGCGAAAGGGAAGAGTGAGTGAGGGAAGGAGAAAGTGAAGAGAGAGTGAGGGTAGGAGAAAGGGAAGAGAGAGTGAGGGAAGGAGAAAGGGAAGAGAGAGTGAGGGAAGGGGAAAGGGAAGAGAGAGTGAGTGAAGGAGAAAGGGAAGAGAGAGTGAGGGAAGGAGAAGGCGAAGAGAGAGTGAGGGAAGGAGAAGGGGAAGAGAGAGTGATGGAAGGAGAAAGGGAAGAGAGAGCGGGAAGAAAAAGTGAAGAAAGAGAGAGGGAAGAACATGTGAACATAGATAGCGAGAGAAGAGAGAGAGGGAGAGGAGAGGGAGGAATAGAAATTCAAGCGAAACAGAGAGAGGGAAGAAGGAAGTGAGGAGTGAGAGAGGAAAGGCGAAAGGGAAGAGAGAGTGAGGGAAGGAGAAAGTGAAGAGAGAGTGAGGGAAGGAGAAAGGAAAGAGAGAGTGAGGGAAGGAGAAAGGGAAGAGAGAGTGAGGGAAGGAGAAAGGGAAGAGAGAGTGAGGGAAGGAGAAAGGGAAGAGAGAGTGAGAGAAGGAGAAAGGGAAGAGAGAGTGAGAGAAGGAGAAACGGAAGAGCGAGTGAGGGAAGGAGAAAGGGAAGAGAGAGTGAGGGAAGGAGAAAGGAAAGAGAGAGTGAGGGAAGATCAAGTGAACATAGATAGCGAGAGAGAAAGTGAAGAGAGAGTGAGGGAAGGAGAAAGGGAAGAGAGAGTGAGGGAAGGAGAAAGTGAAGAGAGAGTGAGGGAAGGAGAAAGTGAAGAGAGAGCGAGGAAAGGCGAAAGGGAAGAGAGAGTGAGGGAAGGAGTAAGGGAAGAGAGAGTGAGGGAAGGAGAAGGCGAAGAGAGAGTGAGGGAAGGAGAAAGGGAAGAGAGAGCGGGAAGAAAAGGTGAAGAAAGAGAGAGTGAAGAACAAGTGAACATAGATAGTGAGAGAGAAAGTGAAGAGAGAGAGAGAGAGAGAGAGAGGGAGAGGGAGGAATAGAAAGTCAAGCGAAACAGAGAGAGGGAAGAAGAAAGTGAGGAGAGAGAGAGGAAAGGCGAAAGGGAAGAGAGAGTGAGGGAAGGAGAAAGGGAAGAGAGAGAGAGGGATGGAGAAAGGGAAGAGAGAGTGAGGGAAGGAGAAAGGGAAGAGAGAGTGAGGGAAGGAGAAAGGAAAGAGAGAGTGATAAAGGAGAAAGGGAAGAGATAGTGAGGGAAGGAGAAAGGGAAGAGAGAGTGAGGGTAGGAGAAAGGGAAGAGAGAGTGAGGGAAGGAGAAGGGGAAGAGAGAGTGAGGGAAGGAGAAAGGGAAGAGAGAGCGAGGAAAGATCAAGTGAACATAGATAGCGAGAGAGAAAAGTGAAGAGAGAGAGAGAGAGAGAGAGAGAGAGTGGAGAGGAGGAATAGAAAGTCAAGCGAAAGGGAAGAGAGAGTGAGGGAAGGAGTAAGGGAAGAGAGAGTGAGGGAAGGAGAAGGCGAAGAGAGAGTGAGGGAAGGAGAAAGGGAAGAGACAGAGAGGGAAGGAGAAAGGGAAGAGAGAGTGAGGGAAGGAGAAAGGGAAGAGAGAGTGAGAGAAGGAGAAAGGGAAGAGAGAGTGAGAGAAGGAGAAACGGAAGAGCGAGTGAGGGAAGGAGAAAGGGAAGAGAGAGCGGGAAGGAGAAAGCGAAGAGAGAGTGAGGGAAGGAGAAAGCGAAGAGAGAGTGAGGGAAGGAGAAAGGGAAGAGAGAGTGAGGGAAGGAGAAAGCGAAGAGAGAGTGAGGGAAGAACAAGTGAACATAGATAGCGAGAGAAGAAAGTGAAGAGAGAGAGAGAGAGAGAGAGAGAGAGGAGAGGGAGGAATAGAAAGTCAAGCGAAACAGAGAGAGGGAAGGAGAAAGTGAAGAGAGAGAGATGGAGAAGGGGAAAGACAAAGTGAGCAAAGAGAGGGAGAGAGAAAGTGAAGAGAGAGGGGGAAGGAGAAAGTGAAGAGGGACAGAGGGAAGGAGAAAGTGAAGGGAGAGAGTGAGGTCACAAAATCTTGAAGAGAGAGAGAGAGAGAGAGAGAGAAAGCGAAGAGAGAGATATAGAAGAGAAAGTGAAGGAAGACGTGAAGAGAAGAGAGAAGGGGGGAAGAAGAGCACGAAGAGAGAGGGAAGGAAAAAGTGAAGAGAGAGAGGAGAAAGCGAAGGGAGTGAGAGAGAAAGCGTGAAGGAGAAAACGAAGGGAGAGAGAGAGTGAGTGAAGGGAAAAGTGGAGAGAGTGAAGGAGAAAGTGGAGAGCGAGAGAGAGAGTGAAGGAGACAGTGGAGAGAGAGCGAAGGAGACAGTGGAGAGAGAGTGAGAGAGAGTGAAGGAGACAGTGCAGAGAAAGAGAGAGAGTGAAGGAGACAGTGGAGACAGAGAGAGAGAGAGAGAGAAGAGAGACAGAGAGAGAGAGTGAAGGAGACAGTGGAGAGAGAGTGAGAGAGAGTGAAGGAGACAGTG